CTTCTGCACCTCCTCCTGCTGCTTGATCAGCCATTGCAGGGTCCCCTCCATCTCCGGGCTGCCAAATACTTGCTCTAGCACGGGATCCTGGACAGGCCCCCACGTGTATCAGAGTCCCCCTTGGCTCCTGCCTCTGTCACTCTGAGACCCTGGGGTTAGTAACCACTGGTGCAGTTTATTCACAGGCTTGTTCCCATCATCGTTTCACTAAGTACAGTTGGCCCTTCACCGTCTGCAGGAGGGAGGGAAGAGCTACTTTCCTGCTTCCACTCCCTGCCTTTTCCCTTTCTTACATCCCCTGAGGCTTTTGTACAGCCCCAGCCTAATTAGGCAAAATCTGTCTCTGCTCCCCCAATTAGGGCCAGGTTATATCCAGCCAGCTCTTATTTATTCCCCTAAATGGGAGCTGGTGTTACAAGGCTGAATCAGCAACCCTTTGCCCAGCACCCTGTCACACTGCTGCCAATTAATTTCATTCGGTGATGCCTATTTTGTGTGTTATGTGCAGGGGTAAACAACACTTATTCATTTTCTCCACACCATTCATGATTTTATAGACCTCTATCATATCTCCCCTCAGCCATCTCCTTTCCAAACTTTTTAATCTCTCCTTGTATAGAAACTGTTGCATATCCCTAATCATTTTTGTTGCCATTCTCTACTTTTTCAATTCTAATATATTTTCTTTAGATGGGACAACCAGAACTGCACACAGTATTCAAGGTGTGGGCGTACCAGATTTATTTAGTGGCATTATGATATTTACTGTCATTTTCTATCCCTTTCCTAATGCTTCCTAACATTGTTAGCTTTTTTGACTGCTGCTGCACGTTGAGCAGATGTTTTCAGAGAACTATCCACAATGACTCCAAGATCACTTTCTTGAGTGTTAACAGCTAACTAAGACCAAATCATCGTGATGTGTAGTTGGCATTATGTTTTCCAATGTGCATTACTTTGCACTTATCAACATTGAAATTCATCTGCCATTTTCTTGCCCACTCATCCTGTTTTGTGAGATTCCTTTGTCACTCTTCATAGTCAGTTTTGGTTTTAACTATATTGAGTAATTTTGTATCATTTGCCAATTTAGCCACCTCACTGCTTATCCCTTTTTCCAGATCATTTATGCATATGTTCAACAGCACAGATCCCCATACAGATTCTTGGGGGACCTTGCTATTTACCTCTCTCCACTATGAAAACTGACCACTATTTCTACCCTTTGTTTCCTATCTTTTAATCGGTGAGAGGACCTTCCCTCATCCCATGACTGCTGACTTTGCTTAAGAGCCTTTGGTGAGGGACCTCGTCAAATGCTTTCTGAAAATCAAAGTGCACTATATCCACTAGATCACCCTAGTCCACATGCTTGTTGACCCCCTCAAAGGATTCTAATAACTAGGTGAAGCACAATTTCCCTTTAAAAAAAGCCATGTTGACTCTTCGCCAACAAATCGTGTTCATCTAGGTGTCTGATAATTCTATTCTTGACAATAGTTTCAATCCATTTGCCTGGTACTGAAGTTAGGTTTACCGGCCTGTAATTTCCAAGGTCGCCTCTGGAGCCTTTTTAAAAAAAATTGGCTTCACATTAGTTATCCACCAGTCATCTGGTACAGAGGCTGATTTAAGTGATAGGTTACATACCACAGACAGAAATTCTGCAAATTTCATATTTGAGTTCTTTTAGAATTCTTGGATGTATACTATCTGGTCCTGGTGATTTATGACTGTTAAATTTAACAGTTTGTTCCAAAACCTTCTGTATTGAGACCTCAGTGTGGGACAGTTCCTCATATTTGTTACCAAAAAAGAATGGCTTGGGTGTGGAAATCTCCCTCACATCCTCTGCAGCAAAGACCAATGCAAAGAATTCATCATTAAGGAGCTCCTTCAGCACCTGAATCATCCAGTGGCCCCACTGATTTTTTGGCAGGCTTCCTGCTTTTGATGTACTACAGAAATTATTGCTGTTCATTTCTGTCTTTTACTAGTTGCTCTTCAAATTCTTTTTTGGGCCTGCTTAATTATACTTTTACACTTGGCTTGGCAGAGTGAATGCTCCTTTCTATTTTCCTTAGTAGGATTTGGCTTCCAATTTTTAAAGGATTTATTTTTTGTCTCTAACCATCTCTTTTACTGTATTGTTTAGCCAGGGCAGCATTTTTTGGTCTTTTTTTATTACTATTATTTGGGATATACATATACTTTTATGCTCTAGCGTGGTGTTTTTAAAAATTTCCATGCAGCTTGCAGGCATATCACTTTTGTGACTGTTCCTTTTTTGTTTAATTAGCTTCCTCATATTTGTATCATTTCCCTTTTTGACGTTCAATGCTACTGTGGTGGGTTTCTTTGGTATATTCCCCTACCCCCCCAAGGTTGTTAACTTTAATTACATTATGGTTGCTATTATTAAGAGGTTCAGCTAGATTCACCTCTTGAACCAGATCCTGTGCACCACTTAGGACTAAATTAAGAATTGCCTCTCTTCTTGTAGGTTCTAGGACTAGCTACTTCAAGAAGCAGTCATTAATAGTGTCTAGGGGCTTGTCTACACTACCGCGGTAGTTCGACGGCTGGCAATCGAACTTCCGGGTTCGATTTATCGCGTCTGGTGTGGACGCGATAATTCGAACCAGGAAGTGCTCGCCGTCGACTGCGGTACTCCACCTCAGCGAGAGGAGTACCGCGGAGTCGACGGGGGAGCCTGCCTGCCGTGTGTGGACCGCGTCTGAACCGCGGTAAATTCGAACTAAGGTATGTCGACTTCAGCTACGTTATTCACGTAGCTGAAGTTGCGTACCTTAGATCGAATTGGGGTGTTAGTGTAGACCTGGCCTAGAAATTTTATCTCTGCATTCCATCATGAAGTGACATGTTCCTATTTGATATGGGGATAGCTGAAATCCCCTATTGTCATCGCTTTTTCTGCCTTTGTTGCTTATCTAATCTCCCTAAGCATTTAACAGTCACTTCCCTGGTCAGGTGGTCAATAATATATTCCTACTGCTATACTATTATTATTATTCAAGCATGAAATTTCTATCCATAGAGATTCTATGGTACTGTTTGTTTGTTTTTACCATATATGACTATGCCTTCTTTCACAGTGTCACTCCCCCATGATTGTGACCTATTCAGTGTCCGACTGATTATCATTGTTCCACCAAGTTTCTGTTATGCTTTTTATAGCTATATGCTCATTTAATACCAGCCACTCAAGTTTACCCATCTTAGTTTTTAGACTTCTAGCATTTGTATACAAACACTTATAGAATTTGTCAATATTTAGTTGTCTGCCTTCATGTGATATAATGGGATGCTTTTTTGACTGTTTCTTCAGTTCCTACCCGTACTTTATCAACTTCTAGCCTCTCCTTTTTACTAGGATATAGAGTATCCCCTTAAAAAAAATCCTCCCCTAAAGGATGTGTCTGTCCAAACTGTGTGCTCCTCTGCATCTGTCAGCTTTCCCCCAGCCCTTAGTTTAAAAAGTCCTCTATGATATTTTTAATGTTCCCTATCAGCAATCCGGTTCTGTTTTGTTTTGGTGGAGCCAGGGCCAGTGCAACCACTAGGCAAACTAGGCGGCTGCTTAGGGCGCCAAGATTTGAGGGCACCAAAAAGTGGTGCCCAAAATGTCTGGGATGCTCACCGGGCGCCGGCTACACGTGTAACCCGCTTCCCGCCCCTGTGCGAGGGGGCGCTGCTGCTTTGATCAGCTCCGGCCGGCCGGGAAGCGATGTCATTTCTCCTCTGGCCGCCAGGGGCGCTGCGCTGCTCCCTGCTGCTCTGGCTCTTCCCCAGGGCCCCTGCCCCTGCTCAGCCCCGTCTTGCCCCCACTCCCCTGAGCTCTGCAGCAGGGCCAGGCCTGCACTCACCGGCGGCAGGAAGTGCAGAGACCTGGCCCAAGCCGCGCCGCCGGTGAGTGCTGCCCGCAGCCAGCCCCTGCTGCACTCCCTGCCCTACCCGCACCAACCCTGCGCCCCCAGCTCTGCCTGCAGCCAGCCCCTGCTGCACCCCCTGCCCTGCCCGCAGACAGCCCCTGCTGCACCCCCTACCCTGCCCGCAGACAGCCCCGCACCTCCTGTCTCCAGCCAGCCCCTGCTGCACCTCCTGCCCTGCCCGCAGACAGCCCCGCACCCCCTGTCTCCAGCCAGCCCCTGTCACACCCCTGTACCTGAAGCCAGCCAGCTCCACACACCCCTGTCTCCAGCCAACCCCGCACACCATCTCCAACCAGCTCCACATCCCCTGCCCTGCCCGAAACCAGCCAGCCCCACACCCTGTCAGGTTATTCATTTATTTTCATTAAATATGTAGACTAAATAATGAAATTAATAAATTTTCAAGCCAAATGTGTATTAATTCTAATGAACAATGCCACATTATGCAGTATTCATTTTTGAAAGTTTATAATAAGCGATGCTCTGGGGGGTGCAAGGTGGAAGTTTCGCCAAGGGTGCAAAAATCCTTGCACCGGCCCTGGGTGGAGCCCATCCTTACTGTATAGGCTCCTCCTTTCCCCAAAGGTTCCCCAGTTCCTAATAAACCTAAATCCCTCCTCCACTCACCATCATGCCATTCATGTATTGATACTCTGCAGTTCTGCCTGCCTTTTAGAGAATGCCACCGTGGAGGTACTAGACTTGAACCTCTTACCTAGCAGGCTAAATTGGCCTACAGGACCTCTCTCCTACCTTTCCCTATGCCATTGGTACCTACATGTACCATGACCACCAGCTCCTCCCCAGCACCACCCATTAGTCTGCCTACCTTATGAAAAAAATGTTGTGACAATTTTTAAAGCTCCAGTTTTATTATAGAATCTGAAATGTACAATGTTCAAATAGTTTATCCAAGAAACCATTTTAAAAGTTATTACAGATACTTTTTCACCTCCAGATTCTCTATTAACCTATACTCCAGTGACAACAGATGGTAACAGTAAATAATCTAAATGCCATTTCTACTCTCCTTTATATTTTTGACAGGACTATTATGTGGTTATTTTGTGTCCTACTGAGATGGATGCTCAAGTGAGAAGGGTGTTGCAAATTCCCATGTGGTCTCAAAGAGTTATCTATCTGCAAGGCTCAGTACTGAAAGATCAGGACCTGTTGAGAGCTAAGTAGGCAAAAACTAATATATTTATTTTTCATTTATTTGTTTCAACTCATACTTCTTAAATAAGGTTTACAAACAACATGAGCTAGATTAGAAAAGTAGTTTGTGCATTTTAGAAGGGTAACATGAGTAAATCTTTGGCATAATTCAGCTTTGTTCCTAATTTTTTTTTTTTTCTTAAGCCACTTGTAATCTAACTCTACTTTATCGGACCAAGCTTTTCGTCACTTGTCTCTTCTGTCTCCATTTTAAAAGCAGCATTAAAACAATTCAGAAATGAATCAAACAATTGCTTTTCATGACAAAATGACTCACCAGTTGATGCACTGACTTGTGACTGGGTGTGCTCTCTCCATAGCCTTGCCAACCAGCTGTCCAGGTCCACTGGCTTCATCTTGGGTTTGACCTTCTGGCCAGGACTCATTTAGTCTCACTCCTTTTGGGATAAACCAGAGTTTAACTCAGTAGTTCCTTGCCCTTGCATCAGTGGCCCAAGTCCAGGCCCAATAATGCTTCTAGCGCCTTGCGTCTGGGATCAGTGAGGCATTAGGGAAATTCAGTCCCTCTCCCTACTTCGAGTTCCAGCCCAGGGACACTGAAGCATGTGGTTAAGTTCTGTATTGTCATAACTCTTGTTTCTTCCCTGGACTGCTTCCTCAGTCAGCCCACCATCTCCTCAAGGGACTTGCATTCTTAGCAGAGATCTACTGTGGGATCAAGCCCCTGGTCCCAGTTCCCAACATGACAAAGGAAAGAAAGCTAAATTAATAGAAATAAAGAGCAGCACGATCCCTCAAGGGTCCTTTAGCCATCTGTACTAATGTTCTGTCTTGACAGGAAACTTAAAGGAGCCTGGCCCTTGACTGGGCTCCTGTTTGGGAGCTGAAAATGAAAAGTCTGTCCATCTTCCTGGGATGGAGCCCTCTGGTCTGGGCTTCTCCCTTTAAGCCTCCTCCTCAAGCCTGGTATGGTTTACAGGTGTGGCAAGGCAGGGCTGCCTGAGCCTATAGCTGCTTTTTAACCCCTTTTTGTCTTGTGTGGTGTTTTTATACCCCATCATACTTTTAAAGATACAACACTGGATACTGGAAAGCTGATAAGTGGTTTTAGAATTCACATGAGTGATGATAAAATTCAATGGTGACTATCTGGACCAACTGAAGTAAAAAGAAAGGAAGCAAAAGCAAATATTCCCCTTCACATTCTGTACCCATTCTCATTGTTAACCTCATTCAACGCAATCCCAACACTGTAAGCAACTTGCTTTACCTAGTTGTGACAGAGTGTTGGGCAACAGCAGCTGTACCAGCACTCTGATCACTTTATCACCAATTAGTTGCATAGGAGTAAACCTGACGATGATAATTGTGCCTAATTGATAGATTGGGGATGATCTGGAGAGAGCTACAAGGCTAATTAATCCATTAGCCCAGAAAGTAGAAAAGGCATAGGAAAGAAGTGACACGGGGGAGAGATGGCAAGAGAAGTCCCAAGAGCGACTTGAGGGAGAGATCTCCTTCCTCTTCTGTCCTTGGTCTAAAAGAAGCTGCTATTATATATAAAGTGCTGCACAATGCTGTCAAGTGCCAGGGGAACATTGTAAATAAACCACATGTGGTGTTTACAAGCAGAGATTCTCCAAGTAGTCTGTATGTGCAGAGGAAGTTAGGAAGTGGAAGCCGTGTCCTTTTACACGAGTCTGCTATGCCTCTATGCCCTCCTCCTACACCTTTCTTACAACAAGCTTCTATAGCAAGACCTATACAGCTATTCTTCCCATCCAGGAAGTGTTAACTGACACCCACACATACACGAATCAAACAAAACATCACGACACATAGTACAGATCAGTGCCTATTGAGTATTCATTGCATCCCATCTCCATTTCTTCATGTTCATGCTTTGTTGTTATACCTAACCCATGTAAGCATTTGGAAACTGGTTGATAATACCACCCTAGAAAGAAATCATCTCTCTTTCTTTTTTTTTAAGTTGAAACTTGATCTGAATTTAATAGATGATTATAGGCCAGACATCACATTTCTTTGGAGTCTTGAGAGGAATGTCTTCTCAAATTTCTATCTCTAATAAAGAGCTAATATTGGATGTTCAAAAGAAGAAAAATAAAAGGTCAGAGAGATGATTGTGCCCCCTTCCTCCCCAAAAAAGAAGATATAAAAAAGTTGCCATTTTTTGCTTTCCCACTGATCTTGAGAAAAGATTCTCTAGTGGGATTTAGTTAGCATTTGTTCTACATCTTAGGAGGTGAAAAAGAATCAAAATGCTGTTCTCTGAGCATAATCACATGCATTTAGCCTATAATAACCTTAATAACCTGAAGCTAGTCAATTGTAGAATTGTACTTTTTTCTGCAAAACATGTAATTGAATGTACCTAAAGATTTTTTTTAAACGTGTCCTAAGGGAAACAGCATGGTGGGAATTTAATAGAACATTTAGTATGAAATATAACCCAGTAACTAAGAGGTTGCTATATTTCAGTTCTTTTTATGAAAAACAACGTACTAAAAAATAACAGATGCTTGGTAAATTTCTCTAGTAAATAAAATATTAGGTAGTTGTTTGTTTACTATTAATAAAAATAAAATCTGGTTGTCTCATTATCAAAATTTATATACATATTACACAAAAACTATGTTAAAAGAAATTAAGGTTACAAAGCCAAGAACTCAAATGTCAGGGAATGCTAAAATTAAGGTTGCCTTTTCAACCATAATCCAGTCTCCTCCTGCCTATGCAAGATGTTACAGTCTTTAATTACATGATTACATAACCATTATTTCCATGGGACGCCTGTTTCATTCAGTGCACAGAATGGACAGTGGTAAATTATGAGCAAATATTCCATATTTTTTTGTATGAGTGGCCCCATGTCTTATCTATTGAAAATTCAAACCCTGCTCTTAAGACAGAATTATTTATTTCCTCATGGGCTTTTCTTTGGTGTTCATCCTATATTATGTGAGTGCTTTGCAAACATTAATCTATCTTCGCAAAACCCATGTTATGTGAGGCGCTGGTGGCATCTCAATTGTACAAGTGGGGAGCTGAGGAAGAGAGAGATTAAGGTCAAAAGTAGTCACTAATTTTGGGTGCCCAATTTGAGTTGCCTAGAATCTGATTTTTCAGAGTTCTTAGAATTATATAGAATTTTAAACATTCAAGCATGGCACCCATTGCAGTGGCAGTTATGAGTGCTCAGAACTTCTGCAAATCAGGCCCCAGGATCTCAAATTAGGCACCCAGAAAATTAAGAACACAGTGTGACCACCTTCCAAAATTTTGATTAAAATGACTTGCGCAGAATCATATGGGAACTGTATGACACAGGCAGGTATCAAATCGAATTCTGCAGGACAGCATTCAACTGCCTTAATCATGAGACCTTCGTTTTTAATTTTCTTCAATCACTTGCCTCATTCAGTACACAGCTTCCAACTTCATCAACGAAGCAGGGATCCTACAGACAGCCTCCTTCACTACACAACCCTGATTCATCCCCAGAGCAAGTCTATCCTGTGCACTGAGGAAGGCAGGGGTCCTCTGGAAAAACAGTGTATGATTATGTACTTTTACTGTACCATAATGCATAGGCACGGGAGGATGAATTAAGGTTTCATAGGCAGCGATCTGGCCTCCTTTCAAAACACTCGTAATATTCAAAAACAGCATTGCATGCTCTGCCACCATGTTACTCGCATGGACAAAAACACCCCAGCACACCATGCTCTCAGACTGTCCATCAATGCACAAAGGGGTACACAACCTAACCTTACCTGGGGTGCCCATGAAGCTGCCCCATAAATTCATGGATTCACAGGAGTAAGCCAGATGTGGAAACTTCACTACATGATGCCTCGTGCAACACCATCAACCATGGTCATTCTGGTTGGCACAACAGCCCTCAATAGACTATGTCTGAAGCCGTTTTAATTCTGTCATCTTCTAACTTTTGAGTGCTTGACTTTGCAACTTTAATAAAATGTTTTAGTAACATTGGTGTGTGTGTAATATCATAGGTTTTTTAAAAAGGCCAACTGAGAATTCAGAAATTTCATCATGTGCCATCATATTAACACACACATGGTTCATCAGCAGGCTTGGAACCTTTACATCCACCACACGGTCCTCTGCTATTTGAGCTAATGGAGTAACTGATAGCAATAGTAAGTTGTCTTCCTCTATGTAGAGCAGCACTAGAAAGGGAAAGATAGACACTTTGCCAGTGGGTATCACAGATATTTGCTGACAGCAGAGAACTGGTGAGACTTAGTAATCTTACAGGATCTGGAAGGGAATGCACTGGAAGTGGGCACCCAGCATGGAAAATTTCAGCCCAATGGCTAATGTTTTGCAAAGTTGTAAGCAACTGAAAATGAGGTTTTGTAATGGAAAGTATGAGACAAAAATAATAATACACAATGCCACCAGTCCTGCCTATAATTCTAAAAATCTCTGTATTCAACATGGAAATTCAAATGTGAGTGGCCTATGAAATTTTGTTATTATGTACCTTAGAAGTGAAACATCTTGAATACTATAGAAACCCTGCTAACAAACCTTCACTCAGTAGTCTTCACTGCTGTTCAGTTACACATCTGCCGTTTTTAAATTCAAAAACATTCACTGAAATGTGATTTTAGTCACAACAATGTTTGAGGAATTGCTGCATTAATAAAGTGCAAATACTTTGATTCATGAAAGCTTTGCTATTCATTATTATCCTATCTGCAAACTTGTATTGACCCACATATGGAGCAGAAACAATACCATGTGACTTAAATGACCAGTCACATGCCAGGAATAGCCAGTAGCAAATACTGAATTGTTTGCAAACAGCCCATAGGCTGAAAATTGTTCATTCATATAATACAGTCAGACATTAGTCAGATTATTTTCATACATTTGTCAGATTATTTGTTCATAACAAACAATTCAATCAGTTCTACAAGGACATATATACCTGGTCAGACAATCCTTTACTACAATGTGTCCAGGTTTCAATTTAAAAAAAAAAAGGAATGACATTTGTAGATGTCCTCTATCACATTTCGTGAAATTAGCTAATTTGCAAGGGGCCAGCACAAGGACAGCACTTAAATCTCCTGGAATTCCTATTTTGAATAGGTAAATGGGGTAAATGGGATTTGAAGAGGGGCATAGGTTTTGTGCTGGCTCTAGGTTCAAGGATGAATTTTGCCCATTGAGCAGCAGTCTTTAATGGACAGCAATCCTGTGTTAATCTAATGTCAATATCTAATTGTATTTCCTATTTAACATTTCATCATCAATAATGAGATATAAAACGTGATTATATTTTAAGATGCCCTAGAAAAAAATAATGCCATTATGTAACTGCATTGCAATGAGAAACGGAAACATTCTAATACAATGCAATTAATTTGATATATTCTCACCCACATCATTATTCTTCTGAAGAACCACTATTTACCATCTCTAGAAATGTAACTAGTTTATGATGCAACTTGTACAGATATGTAAACAGACAATATTTAGGAATGTTCTGGGATTTTAAATTCTGACTTTTGGGATCAGACCAGCAAACTCTTATGTATATATTTAACTTTGTGTATGTGAGTAATTCTATTGAAAGCATCCTGTAATGTCATATTGTAAAATCCAGGAAAATGACGAGACTACTTGTGTTAATAAAATTGAAACACATGAATAAGTGCTTGTGGAACTGGGGCCTTGCTTTGCATTGATATAAAAGCACTCAGGTTCCAAATTTCTAGCCTCTCAAAACTATATAGAGGAACAAGTCATGAGACTTGCATTGAATTTCCCAGTTTTGCCATTGATTCAGTGTGTGACCATACGCAAATCATTTAATCTCTCTGTGCTTCAGATTTCCCATCTTTAAAATGGAGATATTATTTCACTCCTCTTTAAAGTGCTTTGAGATAAGTGGAGGAAATGCACTATAGAAGGAGATTAAAAAGCGATGAAGAGTCCTGTGGCACCTTATAGACTAACAGACGTATTGGAGCATAAGCTTTTGTGGGTGAATACCCACTTCGTCAGACACATGACATGTGTAGCTTAAATATAAATATATAACATTTGATAGTTTTTGCTTTCTCCGTTTGCTTTTAGGATGGACGATGCTGAGGCCTGTTTCATTCTGAGTAGCCGGTGCGAGGTGGACAGGACAGCAGCGGTAAGTTCTTTAGAAATACTTCTAAGAATCGTGTGTATGTTCTTCACACTGTTAATACTATTATGGAGCTCTGTGCAGGAGTAGGTGTCCACCCTTCTGGATCTGACATAAGGATGAGGGGAGCGGGGGGCTTATTACTGTGGAGGCCTTATTCTTTGTAAACTACTATTTGTATTATCGCAGCAGATTGGAGCCCCAGTTAGGGAGCAGGACCTCATCGTAATAGGTGCTGCACAAACATGGAACAAAAAGAATGCCCTCCCCCGAAGAGATTAGAGTCTAAGAAAACTAGGGATAAATGTTATAATTCTCCAATTTACACATACATCTTAGACATACAGGGTGAAATCTTGGCCACTTTAAAGTCAATGGCAGTAGATTTCAGTGGAGACAGGATTGCACTCGTTTATAACACAGGATTTAATAGTACGTCTCACATACAATTTTATGTAAATTACTGCTTTCTCACTAAGCAAAGTTTTACAAAGAAGAGGTAAGGTCAGATTTATTCAAGAAAATTAGAGAGTTTTAAAATCTTGGTATGTAAACATAAAACTCATTTTTCATGCAGTGCAAAATACATTGTTGTGATTTAAAAAAAAAATTGTGTCAGAGGGGTAATATAAAGTACAAGAAATATGAAATATACTGATTCTTTATAATTATATAGGCCAAAAAAAACAATAAAACTTTATTCACAAGAGTAGCTTCAAATCATGCAGAACATCTTATTGAAGTCAATAGGAAACAGACATATCATATTACTTATGCTTCCACTCAAAAATCAGATACTCACTGTGAACTGCTTCCAAACAGCTACAGACTAAGAATTATGTATGTAAACTATCATGTGATTAATTTTTAATAACTATTGAATTTGACAAAATGTCAAAATGTGGTCAATTCACAAGTAAAAGAGGCTGGGTTCTTTGAATAAATCATTCATTATGATTTGTCTCGAAACAATTGTTAATAATGGGAAGTACACATCCACAAAGGGAGGCCATTGATAATTTAAACAGATCCAGATTCCCACAAATCTGTGATAAAATTAAAAACATTTCCATAAGAGCTAGAGTGCACTGGAGTAGCGTCCTGCCCTGTTGCTTTAAAAGACTCCACTAACGGAAGTAAGTTTTATGATCACATCTTACTACCTTTCTCCACACCTCCATCCCAAAGTACAATACAGTTAGTAGTTTTTGCTCAAGAGGGTCTCAGGCTGCAGAGGATGGTTCACTTAGGTTTGAGCATTTGTGGAGTTAAATTAGGAATCTTACGTATTACCAGAGGAAATCAAGTCAGTTTTTGTAATTTGCTAGTGCACATGGTTATCATTTTCAGTAAATTCAATTAAACTTATCTTCCCCACCTTTTTAACAAAATCCTTTTTATATAGAGATGTATAAACAAAGAAACATGCCTAGATAAACTAAGTTAGATGTAAAATCTAAGACATTTAGCTGGACTTGACCCAGATTGTAATACTGTATAATCTACCTCTCAGGCTACTGAGCTCATTCTAGGCAATAAAAGATGGTGATGAATTTTCCAAGTGTTCTCCCATCCTTCATGTTTAACTCAGAAACCTTTAAGGTTTTGCATAAAGCTATAGAGTATATTTAATAAATAAATAAGTAAGTCTATAATCCAATCATCATAACCATTATCTCAGCCTTCCAATCCCAGTTACTCCCCACCTTAAACATGTCACTTTTCAGGCAATGTTATCAGGGACAGGGCAGCAGCACCACCAGGGAAGGAAGGATAAAGGAACCAATAAAGCTGTAGGTCAGAAAAGAATGATGATCCCCTGGAGTGGAATATATGCTCCCTTAGCTGCAGATTTTAGTGGGGTAATTATTCATTTGTACTAAGACACCTTAGAAGGTGTTTGATATGCTTAAAAAGTTATGTTAATTCAAAGCAAAACAAAGGGTCAGATGCTCAGCTGGTGTAAATGGGCATGACTGAATTGACATCAGTGCAAATGTGAGCATCTGGACCTAGGTGCCTACCAAGACATTCCCAAAACTGATGTCATCATCTAACATTTGATACCTCCAAAAAGGGCCTTCATAATAAGTTACAAAATCTTGAGAACACAGCAGCAAAAGGTACTGGAAGGACAATCAAATAGTATGCTTCAAGGAGAGCAGGCACTCAGAATTTGCCATGCTGGAGTGACTGAGATATTGTGGCATCTCCTGTTCTAAGTGCAGGCAGAGGCTACCGTTACTACAAGTACCTGGGTAAATTCATACTTGTTGAATTGTTAATGGTACCTTCTACTGATAGCAATCCAAAACATACTAGTAACCAAAACATCCTAAATTATTTAACCACCTGATCCAGAATAATAACTTTGCAAATAGAGAGTTTGATTCACCCCTGCATGTGCAGGAGTTTGTAACTTGCACCTTTCTGCAACGATATGGGCAGCTACACTCCAGGAGAGATTCACCTTGATGAAGGAAAAGCAGTGTAGGTGTTATCTTCCCCAAAGTTCCTACCAGGAAAGGACACCTTTAGACTATATTCAGAACTCCAAACGAGGCTGTCTAGGGGAACATGCTGGGCATGTAGTCCTTCATCCATCCCAGCCAGCATTGACCACTTTGGGGCTGCAGAGGCATCTTGGAGTGTTGGAACCCCTCCAAGCAGACTTTCTACTACAGTCTCCATTCTGTGCTTACAGCACTAGCTATGCCACTCCCAGAAGAGATAGCTGACCACACAGATTTATAAATATATTCAGAGAAGCCAGCATTCAAAAAGACAAATACTATTGAAGAAATGTTCCTGTTACCTTTTGCTATCGGGGATCTGAATGCCTTGTTGGAACGTGGGTGGGTCACTGCTAACACTGGTGGCTAATGGCCAATGTAGTGTCTCCCTTCACATTGAGCACTGATAAAGGGGCATCAATTGTGTTCCCCTTTCCTGTTACCTTGAATTTTTTACATATTGCTATAAAGACTTTTTCCCCCCTATAACCAGTGCCTAAGGGGAAGGGCCTTGTCGTGGCGGCACTGCTTATACCAACGCTTCCCCATTTTGGTGGTAGAGTACTCACTATGTGTATTGCTTAGTCCTACACTCAGATAGTTCTTCAGTAGACTTGCCCTGCTCTTGAGTTCAATTCCTGCCCTTAAACTGGGCTGTCCTACTCAGTAACTACGACTCTCTCCCAATGGGAGTCTTGCCTTTATTCTTCCCACCCCATCAGAGAGAGTTTTCTTGACCAATGTTCACTTAAGGGCAACATTTTTCTTCCATCGTAGACTGTGGGCTGATTCTATACTGACCTGCAACTTTTGTAGATGTTTGTGACTGTGCAAATTGTCACCACCATTCTGATCTGGTAGCAGTTTTGCATGGGTGTAAATGTCTATATGAAGGGCATGGCCCATAGAGTCTCTCTCTCTTTTCTCCTCAAATACACTAAGATTTAGTTTTTCCACTCCCAACCCCTCCATGCACACTTCTTTGCCCTTCCTACCTTTATGGAAAACAGAGCAACATTGGTTGGAGGATGGACAAGAGGGAGGGTGCGGGATAAAGCATGCAGAGGGGATATAAGAACAGAAATTAGGCAGCTGAGTCTCAGCTATCAGAATGGAATTTAAAACTCAAAAAAGGATATATTTTATGGTTGAATTTGAGAAAGCTTGAACCTACCAAAGCCAATTCCCTGTTTCATCATCAATAAGTTCACTGTTTAAGAATGGCTAAGATAGTTATAGCTTGCTACTGAGCCAAAAGGATTTGGTTTCAGAGTGCACCCTGACACTTTATCTTATTTCCAAAGCTGATTTTAAACTGCAACACTCGAGTGGTGCGCTGGACTGGTAGAAATGCCATTGCTTAGCTACTCTCATGCCTCTAAGTTTCCACCTGCACAATAGTCAAAGATCCATTCAAGAGCATGCAAATATTTTAAGCATACAATCAAACTGGACATCTCTACAAAATGTAAGTGTCCCTGTTTCAGCCACCTGACCAAAATGCACATCATAACTCAAACCAAAGTGGCTCCTCTCCCCTCAACCCAAAGCTTGTGTTGGCTCTGACTAGTCAGTGATTCTGCTCATTTGTTATCACTGCTGTTGGCTGGCAAGAGGCTGCCATTGCCTGCTACTTCAATAAGTCCATGGATTGCAGATTCAGGATTTGTGTTGGGCCTGATCCATGGTCCATCACTAGAGTTTAGGAGGAGAGCAGCAAGATAACAGGTGACTTCAATGGGGCCACAAGCCACTTTTCTTACTCCCTAGCAGAAGTGGGAGCTTCCTGTAGTGTGGGCAGACATTTGTCAACTTTCCAGACCCCCTATTAGTTACCTTATCTCTTCTCTGGTAAGGGATGCTATTTGTTCAGGCCAAGAAGTGACATGGAGGAGAGCATCTTTTGGAGTCTAACTCTTTCCCCTGTGGCAGCAGATTACCCTCTGTGGTAATCACTGAATGAACTCTTCAGGTTTCCTACAGTCACTGAATTATTATATGAGCACTTAACTCATTATATTAGTTACCATGACTATAAAAAATGCCATATAAAAACAAACTTTATTCTAAACAATTTTGTTCTGAACAACTGTAAAAATTGAGATATTTATTTATTTATTTATTTATTAAATTGTACAAATCTCTTCTCCAGTCAAGTATTAGTACAAAAATATGTGGCTATACAAAGCATTTAGAAGTTCACAAATGAGATTGCAGGAGTCCAGGTTGGTGTAATTTACACCTTCTTTTAACTCCCTCAGCAGGTCTATAAAACCACCTTAGATTTACACCCACTAACCAGACAATATCTCCTTACACAACACTTCTGACTTTGATATACTGTGTATTAGTAGGTGTTACTCATTTATTAAAGAATAGATGTGCAGCAAATACAGTAACAGGAAGGGTTTAAAGGGCACTAACAAGAGGGCTTAAAGATGTGTTAGTTAAAGCAGGCTTCTTGGGGGCATATGTTACCCGAGCTTAGCCCCCTTTAGACTCGGTCCAAGTTGCATTTGGAAGTTTCCCCACGCTAGTAACAAATTGAATGACACAAATCATGTGTGTGTAACAAGAACAAGAGCAATGTGATAGTGAGTGCCATGAGGGCAGGTTGAGTTAATGCATTTGCATAGAGGTGATCTTGTAATGAATACTTGAATGCATTGCACAAGTAAGTTTATAAATATTTTTCAAGGTGAACCTCTGTACTGTCAGGATCACAAAGAGAATATTTAAAAAGGAGCTACAGCATGTAGTGGTATAACAAGTGTGGCAACACATGTTCTGCAAATGTTAAAACTGAAATGGATTTTAACTTTTAAAGGTTTGCCTCTTTTCTTTATATGAATAATCTATTGGTGTTTTACATTTAGGACAATGTGTTTTTTATTAAAAATGTCTGTCTTTAATACAAATTTCTTGTTTTCTACAAAAAAAACAAACAAAAAAACCTCTGCTCACTATAGCTCCTGACAGCTTTAAGCTACTGGGAAGAAATAATATTAAAACAAAGGAAATAAAAACTGCAAAGAAAATATTTGGAATAGTCTTTGGAAGAAAATATATATATATATATATATATATATGATTGCTGTGTATAACAAAAGTTAACATTAGCTGGTATGCTTTCCATCTATCATGGGAAATTTTATCTAACTCATGAGAATAACACTGATGCATTAGAACTGGAATACTTTTTGTAGTAAATCTAATCTACATCATTTATTTAATTATATTAAACATGGGCAAGGAAAATAATTTGCATCTAATGTATCAGTAGCAGTTTAAAATTGATTTAGGCAAATCCTCATCCCTACACACAACCTAAGTAAACAAGCTGTGTGTATATTGCCATGCAAGAGGTGGTGGGGAAAGGAATCCTCCTATCAAAGGGGCAATGACTGAAGGCTGCATTATCCCTTACAACTGTTGTTCTATCCCTCCACAAAAGATTAGCTAGGGGATCTACAGCTACGTAGATTTTCCAGCCCTGGCCCATCTCTACCTCCAAACCTTTCACACATGCTAGGGTGTGAAATAATCTCTTTGTGTCCAAGCATCTATTTTGCTGTTTTCAGGGCCTTCTGTGACCATTGCAGTGGATTAGAGCATCATTTCATTAATGAGACAAAACAGTAAGAACGCGGATCATGCATGGCATGGAAAGTCACCTTCTATAGGAAAAGGAATTAATTGAGCCTGCTAGATGTCTTTGCAAACTAAAAGGAATGCTTACAGCATAGTGCTTAGTGCATAGTGCTGAGGTGGAACTTCTGAGACCACATTAAAGCTAGACATTTAAAGGGAGCTCCACATGCAGTTTCTTGAAGCTCAGTCTTCTTTACATCTTATTGAGAGTTAACGCAACACAAACACAATTTATGAACAAATCCACCTTACCTCCCTGAAAATGTCTGTCATGTTATTCTAGTACTTCACAGAAAGAATATGTGGTACTGCCTCAACTGACATTACAGTGGAGTGGTCTGAAGATATCAATTACACACTATTTCAGGCAGAGATTTTCCCTTGTGATCCAGTCTGAAAGCTTTTCTTGCTGATGACATTGCAAATGTAATGAATCATTCTTTTCATTCTCTCTTCTAATAGCACCAATTTCGTGACTAGGCATGGCCACAGAATTGGTTCCTGTGCTCTGCTCTCTGTTATTTTTTGTTCGGAAATAAATGAAAATTGATTTGTTCCTCTAAGGCTAAATGTGTGGAATTTAACAATATTTCATGAAATTGAATATATGAATCTATTAATACTTATTTCATGATGTGCAATAATGAAAGAATTCTTGCTGACAGCAATTCATTCTTAAAGTATGGAAAATATAATAGATGTCTTGGAAATTTACTGGCATTCTTGGTCTATAATTAACCTCTACCATTATATCTACAAATTTTTATAGTTTCTCAAAAAAGTGACAAATTAGGTCTGTTGTGGCTCATAAACCTTGGGATTTAACATGGTTAACTCCATACCTTATCATCTCATTCAAATGCTGGGACTCAATAAAATGGTATGGTTTCAGAAACAGGAGTATTATGATGTGCTTGATCATTCAGTTAGTGTGTGAAAATCATTTAACTTAACTATCTTACTAAAACAGAGTTGTTTCACACAAACCAAACCAAAAACCCAACCCCACCACATTTCTTAGTTTTCTGTGATGTGGAACTGACAGGAAACTGTGTTTCAATACGTACATCTTTGGTAAAAATGAGTTAAATTTGGATTTTTTTTCAGAGATTACTGGAAACAGACCCCCAATAAGAAATAAGATTTCATTATTTCCTGGGTAATGGCGGATTTTTACCTTTGGGTATATTTTCCAAAATTGTAAGAAGCAACATTAAGCTTGGGTGTGCTGTGGAAAGAATAATCTACCTATTTCCGAGTTAAATCAAAAATGCAAAATTACCATCAAGTGCTACTAGGATCTCCGGATGTATTTAAAATCTAGGGCCGCATATTAAATAACTTTTTAAAATCAATTAGTATCATCATATTCCTTACAATGGCACTTAAGGACATTTTATTTGTATACACTTCTCCTTTGAGCTAAGTATGATGCAGTAAGTATAATTGAAGGACACAGATATAAAACAACAAAGAACAATACCTGTATTCATCAAGTAAAAGTAGCCAGTCAACAACTTGGGGTTGCAAGGGAGAAATTGTGTAAGTGACTGCAGACTGTCTTGCTTTGCAGGTACAAGAGGAAGGAGAACATGGGGGAGTAAGGCTGCTTCCTGCTTCCCTTCCCACTCAGCACAAGCAACATAGAATAGCTTCCATAGGGCTTAGTTAAGGGAGGAAAACTTGGCATGGAGACAGCATGCCCTCTTTCATGCCCTTCAAAACTCCAGTCCACAGGCAGAGGCTCACCTCTGTATAAGGAAACAGATGAGCATGGACTTTTACTTATATTATAAAGGACCATTAACATTTAGCATAAATGTGGACTTTTTAAAAAAATTCCATGTTTATAAGTGATCTGTTTATTTTTCCTGTGCTGTCATCTTCATTAATGGCTTTTTATTCCAGATGCTACAATGATGGGGGCCATATAAATGATTACATAGATTAGATTTCTGTACAAATCTAAATGGCAACCTGGCAGCATACATGACCCCACCATACAGTATAGCACTATAAAATACATAAATGTATACAATCAGCTAGTGTTATATTATTTGAAAGTGACCTATCGGAAATGGAGTCATCAGATTGCTCAGCAGCTAGTAGGGCTTTTTTACGTTTGATTTAACAAAAGGATTACTTGAATTCCATTGTCATCACATTGTATTTCCTATTTTATTCTAGGATCATCAAACCATTTTAAGAGCCTGGGCAGTTAAAGACTTTGCTCCAAAATGTCCTTTATATGTCCAAATATTAAAACCTGAAAATAAATTCCACATCAAGTTTGCAGGTAAGTTTCAGATTTCAGTGACTTAAAAAGTTTGTCTGTATTCTCTGGAAGCTTGTTTTGTCTGTAAACATTGTATAACTTGCTCCTACACAAAGTCATCCCAAACAGAAATCTACTTCCCCCTTGCTGCCATGTATGGAGATGTAGCCCTTGGCTCAATGTCAACATACTGTACTGGTAACACCAAAGCTGTTAGAAGGGTTGGTCTGTACCCTCTCCATGTGTAAAGAAAACAGGTACATACAAAGCCTCAGGCTCAGAAACATAACAGAATAATATTGGTTACACTTTATATTAAGGCTCCATTCATAAATATTTAATAAAAAATTAATAAATGATTAATAGATGTTTTTAATAAATGGTTAATCTATTGTAAGCTTCCTTATAGCCATGGCTCCTAACCATTTATAACACCTTCTATAGATGTACTTATAATAGGGCTGGCTGGAAAAAAGTTTCCCACAAAGTTTTTAGACTAAAAAAATTGGATATTCCAATGGGATTTTTCTAAATAGAAGTGTAATTTCATTTACTTTGAAAATAATACATTGACATTAAATTGTTTCAAAATGTTGAAATGAAGGAATTTGTTTTATTCTGAAATGATTCTAACATTTTTTTCATTTTGAATTTTCCATTCAGAAAATGGAAAAATTCTGTCAAAATTGACAATGAGAACAAAGCCTAATGTGGCCTAATGATAGTGTTCTGCACTGATAGAACATCTTATCTTTCAGTTGATGTTGAACCTCACATTTCTAAAAAGTCTCCTTGGGCAATCTGAGAAATGCCATTAATGTCCCCTGAAGAGAGTCCTGTTTGAGCTTCTTTGGCCAGAAACATTGTAGATGAGACATGGGAGCTCATGAATTCATATTTATTTAAAGATGAAAGGGGAGAGGATTGACAAGATCCTCCAGATTCCACCATGTAAATGGAAGTCCATCTAGGTGAAAAATTGAAGTGGTAGGTAGACTGACAGTGGCAGGGAGATGCAGCATGTTTCTCAGTTAGATCATTGATAAAAATAAATGATATCAATTCAAGCGGATGTAATGGCATGAAGACAAAAAGGACAGGGAAGTGACTTATTTATAACAATATCTTGGAACCATATTAAGTATAAAATGCATCAAGGTGCATATTAATATGCTGTCTATAGTGTCTTACTATTAATCTGAAGCATTAATAAAAACACCATGAGAAAGCTAGGGTGCTGCTCTTTTTCTGAGTGAGAGACAAAAAATGCTATTTTTTCCAATTCATATATATACTTCCTGTAGTCTTCACAACTTTCACTCTGATTAGGGTGACCAGATAGCAACTGTGAAAAAACATGACAGGGAGTGGGGGGTGGGGGCGCAGCGGCGAGGGTAATAGGCGCCTATATAAGAAAAAGTCCCAAAAAATGGGACTGTCCCTTTAAAAATGGGACATCTGGTCACCCTAACTCTGATGAATGCAGCTTACCCAACTTCATGTTAATTCTGTCCCATTTAATTGCTTTAAGGAAATACCCCAGTTTCCTTAAATGTATTTATTGTGACAAAGTTCCTCCTCTATTTTGGTGGGTCTGCGCTTATTGGCGGATTTTCTTGCCTCAGAGATTCACCATGTGGGTTGGGGGAACAGTCCAGAGACCTTCCCCTCTGGAAGAACCCACAGTCCAGGTCAATTGGGAGGTTTGGGGGGAACCCGGGCCCGCCCTCTACTCCGGGTTCCAGCCC